CGCAGTGGTAAATTATATACAATGTATCCAAAGATGTAACTATAATTGTCTATGCCACATATTAGAAGGTATAAAGCAAAAAAAAGGGAGAGATTAGGTGAATAGTGGAAAACCGTGTGCTAAATGTGCAGAGCCATACTTAGGATGTTGGCTACCTGCACATTGTGACAGAGTGCCCTATAAGTGAAAGAATGGGGGGAAAAGAGAGACCCCCCCCAACCAGAAAACCCGACGCGCGTTTCGGTGCGCTTGTGATGCACCTTCGTCAGGGGCTAAAACCACACTAACCTACGGGTCCCTCTTATAAGAGCATGCCCCTCCTATCAACAAGTATGTGGCCAATCAAAGAGCAGGCAGTTTGGCGCCAAAAGAAAAGCGCCGATACTGCCTTATGTTAATGAAGTTTGTAAAGCGGTCCAATCCAGTATCCTCGCGACACCTGAAAGTTCAACATGGTGGTTCAGCGCAGGCGTTAAGGTTCAACGGAATCGAAAAGATCAAAATGGGACCAAGAAAGGGAGATCTAGATAAAAAACTTCTACAACGCGAAAGTTATTGGATTTATAAATTAAAAACGTTGTCTCCCTTTGGCCTAAGTGAGGGATTTTCATATACTTAATTCATTTCTGACTAGGATACCATTATAACAAATTGCATGCTCTACTATATATCTATGTAAATATGTAATTCCATTAAATATATAGAGTAAGTAGGAATTTTCTCAAAGTTTATTCATTATTCAGGGTCCCGTATTAATTCATGTCTTCTTCTGAACTTTCTTTCACCCCTCTGGAGGTTGTTATAGTTTCATCTCCTATTTTCAAAAAAATCCTTTTTTAACTCCCCCTCTTATTGGCATATACAGATTTGACCTAATACAATTGAACTACATTCTTGATTTATAAATGTCTGAGGAAAGTTGTTCCGGAGCTCTATTTGACTATAGGATTCAGTGTTAAACCATATAATTAAATAAAGTTGGAATAGCATACCTAAACAAAGTTGGAAATTCCCTATATATGTCAAATAATATAAAAGTTTAAATTATAGGAATTTATTTCTAATATTGTAATATTGTACTGTCTCTTTAAATCGATTAACTAGTTGCGGAGCATATCTTCCTTTAAGTCCCCCAGGTCTTTATTTTTCCCCCCTCTCTTGACATATAAGTCAAATGTTCATCTTTTTTGATCCTTGAGTATATGGTGACATCTAAATACGTTATCGTCTATTCTTTGGAGGCCCTTTAATTCTTGGCCGTTTATATGGGTGGTCTATTATTTCTACTAACTTTGGAAAATGAACCTAAATATGTTCATTTCTTCTTATTTGAGGTGTATCGGTATTATTAAGTTGTATTATGATTACCAAATTATTGAATCTATTATAGTTAGTAAGATATCAGTAATCATATATATAAGTCTAACGATTGAATATGAATAACATCTGTATTTTAGATTACTATCGGTAACCTTGTTTCTTGTACCTTTATATTATTTAATACATATTTTAGGCTATGCCATTTTTTCGTAATTAATCAATACGATTCGTATAAGTGATAATTTATTTTTTCATGAGGGGATAATTCGAAATGCTAAGTGGTAATGATCGGTTCCAACTCTAGCATTAAATATTGAACGAATACTATAACAGACGTCTCCATGAGGGGTTAATTTGCAACGCCAATTAAGAATGAATATTTGGCACAATAGAAGCAGTTACGGGATTGGACCGCTTTACAAACTTCATTAACATAAGGCAGTATCGGCGCTTTTCTTTTGGCGCCAAACTGCCTGCTCTTTGATTGGCCACATACTTGTTGATAGGAGGGGCTTTTAAGAGGGACCCGTAGGTTAGTGTGGTTTTATCCCCTGACGAAGGTGCATCACAAGCGCACCGAAACGCGCGTCGGGTTTTCTGTTTGGGGGGTCTCTCTTTTCCCCCCATTCTTTCACTTATAGGGCACTCTGTCACAATGTGCAGGTAGCCAACATCCTAAGTATGGCTCTGCACATTTAGCACACGGTTTTCCACTATTAACCTAATCTCTCCCTTTTTTTTGCTTTATAGCTTCTAATATGTGGCATAGACAATTATAGTTACATCTTTGGATACATTGTATATAATTTACCACTCCGCGTTTATTTCATATGTGGTAGTCATTATTATACGACTAAGAAGGATGCTGTAAATATTCGTATGATCGCAACTTTTGATAGGGGGTGGTCAGAAGTACGGAAGTCACTTGAAAGATTCTGGCCCATCCTACTAAACGATATACATCTCAAGGGGGCTATAAGCCCACATGTGAATATTACAGCTAGGAGGGGACGCAATATTCGTGATCTATTGGTACCCAGTCATTTTTCGACCAAACCACAGCCACGTGCCACTTGGTTGGGTACCCCCCCAACTGGCACTTATGGCTGTGGCAAATGTGTAGCCTGCAAGTTTATTCTAAAAAACTCCAAGACTGTCAGCGATAGTCAAGGATTGGGTTCTTTTAAAGTTAAAAGCTTCTTTAACTGCAACACTAAAGGTCTTGTATACCTACTCCTGTGCACATGCGGACAGAAATATGTGGGGAAAACATTTAGAGCATTTAAAGACAGGATCATGGAACATGTGAGATCCCCTAGGAATCGCCTTGAGACACCTATCTCAAGACACCTTAAAGAATTTCATCATGGGGACGCTAATAATCTTAAATTTTGTGGATTGGAACTAGTGAAAAGGACCCCTAGACGTGGGGATTTTGATAAAATACTTAGACAGAGGGAATCCAGATGGATATACGAACTCAAAACGCTTCAACCATTGGGTCTGAATGAAGGCTTTTCTTTTGCACCCTTTATATAAACACATGTCTTATTGGGTTTTGTATATATCTCTCTCAATTTTCCCATACATTTTTTTATCTCTTATTTTCTATAATTACCAGCTGTATTGTAAATATTGTAAGTTTTGTACTTCCACTCTTTTTGTCTATCAATCATATATATTTTATTTGATTTTGCTATTTAGGATTAGTTTTTTCTTCTCTTTTTTATCTCCTCCTCCTCCCCTTTATCCTCATGAATCCCCTGTACATATGTGGACATTCTCGCCCTAACAGGCACATGAATGCTGTGTAAGATATTTATGGTCTTGACTAGATGATTATAGTCTGCTTTTTTGTTCCTTCGTATAGGGGCATTTATTTTATACCCGGATCTATTAAGGACTTGACCCTTTTTGTTTGTCCACTTATTTATACATTTATATCACGTGGCGGGACTGAGTGTACAATCTACGTTACTCTACCCCTGCATTTACACCCTGATATGTATATTGACGGTTTGAAGAAACCATTTATCCTAAGTTTGGCGCGCATGCGCGAACGCTCTGGCGGGACATGCACAGTTTCCAATCTCGTTCAGTAAGAGGATTGGATAACGCTAACCTATGGCAATGAGTATCAGCTGATAGGAGGTCAGTAGGGGTTATTTAAATGGAGGTTGGGGAGAGGGGGGGGGGTGACTCTATCTGATACATTGTATTTCGCTCTTGAGAAAGGCGGTTTACCCGCCGAAACGCGCGTCAAGCTTTTTTCCTCGATGTATCTTTCGACTGTGTTATACTTCTAGTGAACTCTCCTTTTTTTAACAAGAGTTTTGCAGCGACCTTAGGGTCTATTGGGTTAACACGCTGGGGCGATCATCTAGTATGGAATTATTTTGAGGCTGATCTATCTAGATTCACTTTATACCATTTCTACATTTCTACTTTATATTTCCCTCTCCACCCATATTATCTTCTCTATCCTTTCGATTTCCAATACTAACCTATCTACCTGTATTCTCCAATTTTTTGCAGGGTTTATTGTACATCACTTTTTACATTAACTCGTTTTGAGTCTAAATTGATATAGATTAGTGATCGATACATATTACCTAACTGTTACTTTGGAGATAATAAGTAGGATTTTGGTATATATATGAGTCTGTAGGCAATTAGATATCTAATTTAGGTTTTTGTCTGATGTATCTCTGACTTTTTATCCACCCCTAGTGCACTTACATTGACAGTGTGCTGTAGCTACTTTGGGGTTGATTGCCTAAACATGTTGGGGCGTATATTTAGTATGGAGGAACTGTGAGACTGATTTATTCAGCCTTTTTTCACTCTATAATAACTTTCTTTTCCGTTTTCATGGTCTCCCCCAATATACTGTTCTCCGATATATGTTTATCATATCTGCACTCTCTGATTTTCTGCAAGGCTTAGTATGTATCTAAAGTATCACTTGTAGCACCAACTATGTTTTAGTGTATATTGCTACATATAATTGTGACTGATACATGTTATTTCCACTGTAGCTTTGTATCAAAATTGACAGGATTTTTGTCATATATATGAGTTCCTAGGTAATTTGATTTTAATTCATTATTCTTAATAAAATCTATTTATTATTTTTCTTAGACGTTGTCCTTGGGGTGACTTGAAGGAGAGCAGCCCAGTTTGTTACAGGGCTGTCTTTTTCTTCACTTCTTTGTATATTTTGTGCTCTATGCAGGGTTATGCCCTTTTTGTCACCCCTATAACCCACTTTTTCCTGTACTCCCTATTTGGACCTTCTATTTAGGGAATACTTCTATATATACTAGTCTTTTTTTTTTTTTTTTTTTAATTCTTTTTTTTGGTGTGCAAAGAAATTACAAACTTGCCGTTACTGCCACGACAGCAGTTCTGGGGTAGTAAACATAAGTTACAACTGCACAATTTTTATATATAACATACAAGCTTGGTTACAGGCGAAGTATTAGCTATGTTAGTGAAGAGGTAACATAGAACGTAGAAGAGTAAACAAGAACAGGTATGCAATCTGACATTAAAGTAAAATGAGATGATTGTAGACATGTACATGCTCAGGTGTCTGAGGTAATGATATTTGCCCTGATTCTTGCTAGTGTCATGTCCTAGGCCCTTAGTCTCGCTATAAGTTTAGGTCAAGTAGGAGCATGAATAAAACCAGAAGTAATGCAAGGTAAACTGTGGTACAGTTGATTGAGCGTAAACAGGCTGAAATCTATTAGCTAGCCTCTGCTTTGTATATTCCACTGGGACTTCCCTGCCCCTTACTGCTAACAGCTATACATGTGCTGGCAGGTAGGTAGGTTAGGTTTTTTCTAAAAAGACATAGAACAGGTTCATGTGGTCTTAGGTCACGTCCTCGAGGACATCAGTGACTCTCAGATTCAGCAGCTCGGTTAGGTACATGCAAGTAGTACGAAGTAACTTTAACACTGAGTAAAACATGCTAGGTTTAACGTTTGTGTGAGCGTATATAACGTTCCCTCATTCAGAGCTTTACACATAAAACATATAATAAGGTATACGTGCTGGACTACAATAGCAGGTATAATAAGCGTGTTATCCCATATAGATGGACAGTGCACCTTTTAGTGTATCATACTAGGAGAAATAGACAGTTAAGAGAAAAGACATAGTATTAGGGACAGGTTTATCTTACAATCCAAGATGCCGATATTAGTTACTGTCCAATATATATGGTGCTAGCTGTAGAGAGAAATGCCTCACTGGGAGAGTCAAAAACATAAGCTTGGAGGGTATATATATCACTGAGTCCCCGCATATCCATGCATATCGCTTAAGGTAGGTCTTGCACCATTTATACCCGCTGGTTAGTGGCACAGTAGTCCAGGCAGTTGACGGTGGCCTCATGGATAGCAGCTTAGTGTGGCTGGGGACCAGTCCTGTGGCGTGATTCTTGTGTCAGCCGATGCCGGCGCTCGGAGGGCTGTTGAAGCTGTTGCGGTGCGGTGGAATGCTATAATGTTGCCAGCCACTCTGGACGACGCTGGAGGTCTTTGCTGTGGCGAGATCAGGGTCCCATTCTGGTAGAGCGGATCTGTTAGCGTGAGGAATTCTGTGTAAGGCGACGTACCGCAAGTGGTTGTGTTGCCTCCAGGGTATGCCCGGGCGAGGGTCTGCCTCATGATGGCGTCGGTTGAGGGGTTGCGGTGTGGTCCGCTTGTGGTCCCTCGGCCGTGTCTGGCCCTTGATTGGCCCTGCTTGCCGCGGTTGTCGCTCAGGTAGGTTTAAGTTCTCTGGACACTTGTGTGGATGGGTTGCCGCCAATGGCGGTGTTAGTTGCTTGGGCTTTCGGGTTCTTTTAGTGTGCCGTCCCCACGGCCGTTTGCAGGCCCCGATTGCAGGAGGAGGCATGCGCTTGTGCCGGGGGTTCGCCGGCTCCATAGTAGCGATGTTGTGTGCCTTGGCCCTCTGCTCCCGGATAGCTATTGTCCTCCAGAACCTAGCGAATAGTTCATCCAGCCGGGCACTGAGGTCAGTTTGCTCCATGCCCTGAGCACACGTGGTGGCGGCCATGTTGCCTGGTTGCGCTGCTTCTCGCTGGCCATTGGTTTCTACCCGTGGGGCCCGGGCAGGGAGTTTGCCCTTAGGGTTTGACCGGGATGACCCCCGCCGGTCCAGGGGGGGTGAGTAGGGCATTTGTGGGTCCGTACCTCTGATGTTTAGGCGAGGAGAGCGGCCGTCTCTCCCCGATTTCACCACCAGTAGGCCCCGGCTGTCCATCTTGGGCTCCCGGTCACCAAAGCGTTCAATTCAGATATCGGGATGATCACCAGGTCACTCCTGAAGTAGGCAGTGCACCCCGGTTTGCTTAGTTTTTCGAGTTTGGCGAATATCTGCATGAAATTGGCAAGTAAGGCAGGAGCCCGGCTTACATGCATCCGCTCAGTTTGCTAGCTTGGCCCCGCCCCCCCTATATATACTAGTCATTATTATAGATACATACTAACTATCTTGCATTTACCTTATATGCGGCAGTCATCATTATAGACACATTTTTGTGATACTATTTATCTATTGAATCTTTTTCAATATATCTAACATATTGTGTCTATTAACCTTTCTTTCTGCCTATTGATTTTTAAGTGTCCAATATGCTAGAAATCTAGTATCACATTTCATAGAATGCTACTCTTTTGAGTCTTATTAGGTATAAACAAAGTCCTTTATGTCTCATATTTTTTTTTTTTTATTAATATTAATCTGCAGTCACAGATATTGACCTAATAGGGATTATATATTAAAGTCTAAACCTGTGTACCTCAGCAACTATTGTTAGACACATTAGGAGGGGAGTTTTTTGCCATTTTGGCAGTTATTTTCTATTTCCACCTGACCAATTTATAAGTATCCTTTATTGCATTTCCTCACTGTATATATCTCTATTCATTATTTTTGATAGCATTATCATTATCCATTATTCCAGTGGATACTCATGTACTTGCTATTTTGAGTATCTTATAACATTTTAAGGTTGTTTCTATCTCAATAAAAGAAAAGAATCGCCACATAATTTTCATGGATTGTCTATTAACATATTATCAGAGGTAAAGTCATACATTTGGCTGTTTTCCATAAAAATTGGAGAGGTAAGGAAATCAATTTCATCTTCAAAGAAATTTGCCATAATAAACATAATTTAGGTTAACTTTACACTAATCTTAGACATTGTAATTTTAAGATTTATTTTTTGAGAATCTATTGTTACATTGTGTGTATTTCTAATTTATATTGTGTTTTGATTATTATTGAATGTGTATGTATATGATTATAAGGCCTCCTAAGACTTAGCCTCCATTTGTATTAGGACTGCTACCACACTAGTGTGAGTCTCTCCCCCACTTTACACAAAGTAAGAAATACAGTAAAATTACCATACTTTTGGACCACACTGTTTGGGACTAACTTCAGAATCTACTTCTACTCCAAGGAAAGGGCAGTGTCCCCCTAAAGTGACACTACGGCTATTACACTTAGAGCCAAGTTTTAAGGCTCCTAAAAAGGTGAGTGGGTTAATTATATGATTTAGCACCAAGCCACTTTGAAATTGTGATATACTGTACCAGAAAATGTTGCTTCAATCTGTTTTGTCTTCCTTTCTTGAGTATATCTGAATAAAGACAGAAGAGGGTCAGTGTCACCTTAGAAGAACACATCTGCCAGTTTGACCTGAGCCTGTCCCATTGGCTCTATACTTGTGAGTGAGATACAATTAAGTTTTTGCATTTATTTACATTTAAACTTTATTGCACCATATTGTGCTTTCTTTTAAAATATAGCTCTTACGATATACTGCATCCCTTATTGTATAAGGGTAAGTGTTTATTGGCTAGCGCTTGACTAATGCACTGGCGGTAGTATAACCACTTAGTTCACCTGTCTGTATTGTTTACTGCAAAAGGCCTAAAGTGAATGATTATACTCACAAGAACAAATACAATAAGCTGTTGTTCTTGTGACTATAGTGTTCCATTAATGTAACAGCTGCAATATTTACATATTTTGTGGATGTGATTTTTCAGGTCTACCGCTCCTATTAGTATTTTGCGGTTTCTTATTTGTCAATGTGTGTGTCACTCTTAAGAAAGCCCTCTAACCCCGCAGAAATGAAGAAAAGAAGAACAGATTCTGAAAGACAAGAGGAAAAAATGGGACAATGGTAACTTCAAGGTGACAGAGCCACTTTAAGGGCACTATGCAATTGCAGGTTTGCTTTTATATTATTTTATTATATTAATAATCTTTTAATTATTACATTTTATTGTTAGTGCTACCATTTATTTATTTGTAGTACTGTTGTGTTTAGATACCCATCGCTAGATTAGCTGGTCTTTGTATATAACAGAAGAATCCCAGAGGTAGGTATAATGAGAGGGAGAGCAGAGGTCCGGCTCCCAAAAGACCAACAACGGGTGTGCCCATGAAATGGAGTAAACAACTCAGAAATAAGGGTATTATAGATGTCAATAGTTAAAAGTAATCTTTAATAAAGAAACACTAAAATAATCTATAGTAATACATAACCCAAAAATGTGATAAAGTGATACCAAAATAGAGTGCTAAAAACACACAATAGGGGTCTTCCTGGAGGGGGAAGTGTGTAAATAAGGCTCATACATTACCACAATATTGTAGCCAAAAGGCTACTAATGTTGTTAGTGTGGGTGGATTCTTGGAGTAGCCTGGTTTTATTAAAGGCATTACAATATACCCCTGCATGAGAAATGCCATAGAGACCAAATTAACCCGTGAAATCACGGGTGGTATATAAAATGATGAATAACATATTTAGGTATTTGGCTCATTTAGAGTTATCTTAGTGATATAAATGTAAGATATAATGACATTATTGTCCTCCTATGACATAGCAGGCCACTGATAATATTTAATGTGCATATTCCTACGTGTAGTTGGTAATTTACAGAAACAGCCTTGTTAGCACGTCTGCCAGAAATTTCACTATTTCACAAGTGGAAATGGGCACACATATTCAAAAAGCCTGTGTTGCAAGATACGAACGTATTGTAGGGTCAATAGAAGGAGATACCTACATGCAGGGCGGGTGCAAGAATTTTTGCCGCCCTAGGCAAAAGTAAAGTTTGCCGCCCCCCATGTGACATCACAATGCCCCACCCATATGATCTGCCATGTTAACCCCTTCAGGACGAGTGACGGACGAGGTCCGTCACAGAGGGGAGACCCTTAATGACGAGTGACGGACCTTGTGCGTCACGCGGTAAAATTAACCCTGGATCAGGCTGCCCAGCACATGTGCTCGCTCTGACCGCATGTCAGAGCGAGCACATGTGCTTAGTATACTTACCTTCCACCTCCCTGCACTTCCTGGTTCTGTGTGAAGTGCAGGGAGCCGGAACAGTGATGATCCTGCCCCCTGCTGGAAAAAAAATAAAGTTAGTTTAAAGTCCCACCCCCCTTTACCCATTGTAATAAAAAAATTAACCCTTTCCCTGCCAATTGATCACTGACTACAGTGATCAATCGGCAGGGATTACATTTTACTATGATCTGTTTTTTTTTTAACCCCTGAGGGTTAATTCTTTTTTTTTTTAACCCTCAGGGGTTAAATTTATTTAATTAATTAATTTAAATATTTTTAAATTATATATTTAGCTAGCTGGGGTGGGTGGAAGTTAGTGGGGAATTGGGGGATTTGGCGTTAGGCTAACTAGGGGTTAACGTTAAAAAAAGTTTTAAAATAAACTTTAAAAAGTTAAAAATTAAGCTTAAAAAAGTTTTAATAACGTTTAAGTAAAAAATTAAAAAACAACCCCTTTCCCAGTCCAAATAAAAATTAACCCCTTCCCTGCCAGTCGATCACTGCCTACAGTGATCAAATACAGATCACAGTATTATACTGTGATCTAATTTTTTTTTTAACCCCTGAGGATTAACTTTTATTTATTTTTTTAACCCTCAGAGGTTTAATTTATTTAATTAATTAATTGAAATATCTTATAACTATATTTTGCTAGCTGGGGTGGGTGGGAGTTATGGGAAAATGGGGAATTTACTGTTAGTGCTGCTTACTGCTAGTTAGGGGTTAACGGTAAAAAAAAAAAAGCATAGAAAAATGTTAAATCTGTAAAAAAGTTTTAAGAAAGTTTAGGAAAGTTTAAAAAATTTAATAAGCAAAACAAAAGTTTAAAAACTAGTTTTTAAAAGTAAAAAAGTTTAAAAAAGTAAAAAAAGATACATTTTAAAAACGATCATTACCACTACACCTGGAACAAACTAGAGAAAAAATTATCCCACGCCAAAATTTTAAATATGCCTTTTGAATTACCCCAGGGTGTATTCTTTAATAAATAGTATGTGTTTGTGGGGAAGTTTCAATAACCAACCGTCTAAACTACTCCAAATTGGAACATGGACACAGCATAAAACTTCAAAGTTAGAAAAAAACTGAATGGCTGCGTCTCAAATGCGCCCCTTCAACATCCACATATACCTGGCAAAGGTACATACGGGGTTATTGCTGTACTCAGCCGACATAGCTGAGCAACATATGAAGTATACAGTCGTAGCACACATAAGGTTTGCAAAATATACTGCGCAAACTCACTTTGTGTGTCAAAAAGGCAGAAAAAATGCTTATTACCACTACACTTGGTACAAGCTAGCGGAAAAATTATCCCACGCTAAGGTTCAAAATCGGCCTTTTGAAATACCCTGGGATGTCTTCTTTAAGAAATGGTATGGCTTTATGGGGTATTTGGATTATATAGCCTGGTAAAATACTCTAAAATGGAACATGGGCACAGCGTAAAAATTTATAGTTTGAGAAAAACTGGAATGGCTGTGTCCCAAATGTGCCCCTCCGATGTCCACATATACCTGGCAAAGGTACATACGGGGGTATTGCTGTACTCAGCCGACATAGCTGAGCAACATATGAAGTATTATACAGTCGTAGCACACATAAGGTTTGCAAAATATACTGTGCAAATTCACTTTGTATGTCAAAAAGGCAGAAAAACGCTTATTACCACTACACC